ATAAAGATAGAGAAAAAGCAAAAAAAAACTGCTATGGCTATTATTAAAGATGCAAGTGCTACTTATGCTTTATATCCACAATCCCATAAGTTGATTGACCATAGTACAATGATCAAATTGGAAGGTACAGTGTTTTTCGATGGTAATAAGAAATCATTGCCAAAAGAAGCTTGTGTTTATTTTATGCCTGAACAACATAGTGCAGTTCCAGGTTATGATACTTTGATTAGATTTTTGGTTCCATTATTAGATACTTTTGCGTTGTATGGTAGACCTAAAAGATTAAATGCTAATAAAAGTGAAATGAATTCTCTATTGTTTGGGTTACCAGTTTTACCACATGTTCATTATTTGGAAGTTGATGATCTTATATTATTGGCAAGCTCTCCACAATCAAGTAATTGGCTACTGACTGAATGGAGAATGAAGATCAAAGAGGTTTTAGGTAGAAAACTTACAAATGGTTATACAGGATGTGGATCTAATCATGGAGTTATTGGCGCTATTAGTTCGCCAGCTTTCAACTCAAATGAATTTCTGGATGTTAGATCAGTCAACAGTGGTAATAATAGGCCAATATCACCATTATCACCAAGTTTTTTCCCTGCTCCAAAGTTCAAAAGAGATTCAATGATTTCCAAAAACAGTTCAATTAATGAATCTGGTGGAGAATTAAGTGAACCATCTTCACCACCAAAACCTACCGTTAATAGAAATTCGGAAATCACTCAGATTTATGAAGACTATTCAAATGTTGCACAAATGGGTAATAAAGCTAATGGAGGTGTTGATGCTGGTACTGGTGCTGCTATGGGAAGATATAATAAATCAAATGAAAATGTCAACCAAAGAAATAAACAATTTGGAAATGGTAATATTGGTTACGCTTCAAATGGTGGTGCTAGATTAGAAGATCCATACATTGCTCCACAACAACAACAGCAAGGTGCTTCAAGATCTCAAACTTCATTAGAGAAAACCACTAGAGGTAATACAGATCCATATTCCAATTTCAAGAACTCATCTTCAAACACTTATTTGAATAATAATGATGATGACGATGATGATTTTGAAGAAGATTTCAATAGAGGCATTTCAGCATTATCAATGAATGAATCAAAGAGAGGAGCAGCAGGATCAGATGATATTTTTAATCCAGATTATCATAATCGTTCCAATGAAGTAATTCGTGATGAACCTGCTTTGAAAGTCCAAACTCCAAGTAAACCATTACCATTACCAAATATCAAGATTGAGCAAGTCTCTCCTTATACAAGTGGTCGTATAAACTCCAGCTCGCCAACTACATCACATGCCCCAACACTACCAAAGAAGGATTCATTCAGTAATGAACAACCGTCAAACCAATATCAATATAATAATGGCTCAAGACCACCTGCTCAAGCGTATTCATCATTGATTCAAGAACCAAAGAATGCACCATTGCCTCCACAACATCAACAACCATCACAAGCACCATATCCACAACAAAGACCACCACAGCAGCAGCAACAACCTCAACAAGGTCAACCACGCTTACACTATCCACCACAACAGCAACAACAACATGGTTATCAACAACATAGACCACCACCACTTCAACAACAACAACAGCAACAAAGACCTGGAGGATATCCACCTCAACAACAACCACAACAACATCAACCTAGACCTCAACAGCAACAGCAGCCATATCCACAACAAGGATATCCACCTCATCAACAAGCACCACCTCAACAATATCAACAACGTCCACCACCTCAACAAGGATACCCATCACAAGGTCAACCACAACCTCAACAACGTAGAGGGCCACCACCACCTCAAGGATATGGACAAGGATACCCACCACCCCAAGGATATGGTAAACCACCAGTTCAACAACAACAACCATATGGAGGATATCCACCACAACAACAAGCAAGATCCAATCCACCTAGAGCTCAGCACGATTATGGATCAGCCCCACCACCTCAACAACAACAAGGATATCCACAACGTAAGCCAGTCAATCCATATAATGCTGCACCTCCATCTGGTGGTAATCCATATTCTCAAGGGAACCCATATACTAGATAAGGAGAGAAAGTACAGAGATCTTGCATATGGAATGTATTACGTATTTGTGCTACACTGTTTGAAATTTGATTTGCTATGGGTGGTAGAATTTGATTGTGTATGTATTATTTTGCTGTGTTTTCACCCATGTGTGTTATTTAATGATTGGTGTTTGTTTTTTTGCTTTGCGTTTTGACAATTATATTTTTAGGACAGTCGTTGTTATATAGTACCCAAAAGGAGCACATGATTTGTGTATTTGTATTTGAAGGCAGTCCTTGTTGTAGAATTTCATCTTTGTGGAAACCGTTGAAGCATGCTGGATAATAGATCTGGAATCTGGCATTTCAATGTCGCCCATGGAAGCCGGTCTCAGGTTCTGTATATTTCAGTCTGGCTCGTGACTAAGCAGCCACATGCGATAAGCCCAAA